GCCTTTAGCCCATGCTCTTCCATCATTCCCTCCCTCTTGAGAAGGATTCGTCCTCGAATCTGAAGACTCTTCCTCATCATCACTAGCACCTACAAAAGGTTTGAGATCACTAACATTAAAAGTAGGGCTTACTCCATAATCAGAGGGTAAATCAAGTCTATAAGCATTATCATTGATACGCTGTAAGACCTGAAAGGGACCATCTCCTCTAGGACTAAGTTTGGACTTCCTCTGTTTTGGAAAATGTTCTTTTCTTAAATGAAGCCAAACCCAATCTCCTTCCTCGAAGATCATAGGTCTTTTGCCTTTATTTCCTTGTTGAGCATACTTCTCATTTTGGAGTTGGATATGAGTTTTAATCCTTTCATGTAGTTTCTTAACAAACTCAGCTCTTGAAGCCCCTTCTTTATGAATAAATTGTTCAATATTAGGAAGAGGTATCAAGTCTAAAGGAGTCAAGGGATTAAACCATTTACTCCTTACTCCCAATCTTATAAAAATTATAGGCAAGTATTTTTCCGGGTTACCTTTGTTGATGTCGACCCTTTGGAGGACGGGGGGTTCTATTTTGGCGGGCTGCCGAGGTTCCCCTTCTATTGGTGCCCTGACCCGTCTGGGTTTCATGGGGTGGACCAGTTGCAGTTGACGCCTTCAGAGGCGGCCATCGTCGAGGCTTTGAAGGCGCTTCCTCGCCCGCTAGACTGCAAGCTCATCATGTTGCTCGAGCGTTCGGCGCACAGGGAAAAGGGTTTGGAGGGTGAGTATCTGGTACTTCTTTTACGCGTTAGGGTTTTGTGCTTGCTGACGTGCTTTGTCCTTCGCTTTCAGGTATTGTGGGAAAGGACTTGTGGCGCGATTTGAAGCAACGCTATAATGTCGTTGAGCTTGAGGCTCCTAGGACCTAGGGGGAGGAAGAGGTCTCTCCCCTGAAGGTTAATTGGAAGAGGAAGAGGGTCCCAAGGGAGGTTGGGGGGACCTCTGCTTCTCGCGATATGGAGGAGGTTGTTGCCAGGGCCGCCGGCGTTGAGGTGGCGGGCTTGTCTGGGAGTCCTCTGCCTGAGAGGGGCACTCAGGTGGTTTCCCAGGGGGCGGTGACAGCTGCCGAGCCTCTCGTCCGTCCTGCTGGGGCGTCTACCCGGGCTCCTGAGCGAGTGGCTGGGGTCGCTATGGTGAGTGCCTCGCTTGATTATTTGCTTTCTCTTTTTATGCTCTCTTTCCCGTCTTTCTAAGTTGGGATTGTTTATTGTAGGTGGAGGCTGTTGCCGAGTCAGCCTCCCGGGCTGCTGGTCAAGTCGGCCTGGCTTTCGGGGCGGTGGCTCCGACCGTCGGACAAGTTGCCTCCGCTGTTGAGATAAGCCGCGTGTGTTTGCGATCTTTTGATGCGCTATTCCCCGGGTTGTTTATTGTCTTGCGGGGCTTATGCCTCTTCCTATACTTGTTTTGCAGGCGGGCAGGACCACCGAGGTTTTGAAGGTTCCGAGGTCGACGGTGGCAGGGGTCGATGTCCCTAGGACAGAGCCGGGGGCTTTTGCCTCTGTTTCGGCCGGCCCTCGTGAGGAGGGTCCTAGTTTTGGGGTTCCGGCCTCTGCTCCGACGGTGAGGGGGCCTCCAAAACGTCCCTACCTTGCTTATCACTACGCGCAGGAAGGCGCTCCGACGCGATTGGAGCATTTGAGTGCGTCGGAGGAGATTGACTCCCTGTGGAGCGCTTCATTGACACTTGAGAAGTTTTTTCCTAGGGGGTCACTGAGCGCGGCCGACCAGGCGATGCTCGAGTCCGCCGTGCCCATGTGGAGTTTTGATGCCGCTCAGATCTTCCTACAGAGGGGCACAACCATTGTGGATCACTGGAAGCACAAGTGGTCCAGGCAGCAGGAAGATCTGGCGAAGCTGAAAGGCCGAGTGCAGCCCCTGGTGGAGGAGAACAAAGTTTTGGTCGCCACCCTGGCTGAGCAACATTGGAGAGTGCAATGAGTTTAAGTTCAAGCAGCATCCGGTAGATTTGGGTTGTCGACTAAGAAGTGAATTAACTAATTTTGTTGTGGTAGGGGTCTATTAAGATTGAGTATGATTATTCTTAGTTGATTTCAACTTTGATGGCTTTAACTAGATGATTTTATTGATTGCGAATACACATTTTAGACTTTTTTCTGCAACTTTTGGTTGGACTCATCTATAATATGTCTCAAACTGATCTTTCGTGTTAACCAGAAAAATTAAAGCAAAAATACCAGAGGGTATAACCATAAACTACCATTGCAATCATTGACCAAAGACAAAATAGTACCAATATAAAGTAATAGTTTTATTTGAGAAAAAGAAAACATTTTAGAATAGGAATTACAAATAAAACTTGAAAACTAAAGAGTTAAAATTGGCATCTAACAGAATTTGGAGGCATACAACATAGTTTTATGTAACAAAGTGGATTAAGCCTTCTCAAAACATTCATTATATATGCATACTATATTGGAGGCATACATCAGAGTTTTATATACAAATCAAAAGAAGAAGAACAAATATCTAAAAGGACAAAATCGAATGATAGTTCTCCAAAATCTAAATTGGATTAAGCCTTCTGAAAACAAAAGTTAGTTACAACAAAAAATTAATCCAAGATGACTTTTGACCATGGCTCCTATGCACACGTGTAGCTCCTCACAATATACCCTTCACAACAAAGTTCTCTGAAAAAAGAACCTGCATTGTAATTCTCTGAAACAACAAACTTGCTTCTTATAACAAATGTGGTTAATATAAATTAGTTTTACCTGTTACTATATTTTTAGTGATTGAGATCAAAGCTTTTATCACCAGAGGGCATTATCCCAAATTCTTGATACTTCTATTGTAACATTAAAAGTTAGTTAAGCATCCACTTAGTAAGCAATTATATAAATAAAATACAAGAATACTCATATGATAAACCTGTGATGGTTATGTAATTTTCCCAAATGTCATGTTGAGTTGCCATGTGGTGAGTAGGGGTAGCCTATTAAATAAATAAGATGTTATGAGCAAGAAAACAAGTATATCAATTCATATCAAAATAAATAAATTACATGATATATATTACCATTTCACTAGTCATGTTTGAATATGGTAGACTTGTGTGATATTGTCCAATGTCTTTTTTTGCTCCTTGGAACTATAATTTTATATGATATAAATAAATTATTGTATTGAAATATCTCATAAAAAAACATATTTAATATTTACCTCTTTCTTCTTTTTTTCTTTATTATTTTCTCCATTTTGGATTCCTTTTCTCTTGGATGGTGGACGACCTTTGCTACGCACTTGTAAAGGAGATAATAGTTTTTCACTTGATTCTATTACATGATCAATACTTGGTAGAGTAATTTGTTTACTTCTATCCCAACCCATATCATCCTTAAGCTTTTCCTTTGCTTTATATCCATTCCATCAAAAAATCATACTTTCTTCTTGAATTGGCTAAATGTGCAGCTTCATAAAAGTTGGCACACAACTTATCAAATTCCACACCGTCCACCAAGTCGAGGTCGGCTGCCAGCTCTTGGGCGTTCTACTCGCTATTGAAGACTTGGCGTCGGTGGGACGCTTTTCCGACTTCAACTGGGATCATTGCGTCGGCTCCGTAAGTTAGCCTGTAAGGTGTTTCTTGTGTGGTTGACTGGGGGGTGCAGTGATATGCCCGGAGGATGCTGGGGAGCATGTCGGGCCACTAACCTTTTGCGTTCCCAAGCCATTTTTTAAGCTCTCGGAGGATGACCTTGTTGGCCGCTTCGGCCTGGCCGTTGGTTTGGGGGTGTTCCACTGAGGTTGGGAGATGCTTGATTCCGAGCTCTCGGAGGAAGTTCTCGAATTCTTCTGCGATGAACTGTCGTCCGTTGTCGGTGATGATGGTGTGGGGGATCCTGAACTGCAGACAATGTTCTTCCAGGTGAATTTCCGCACGTTCTTAGTGGTGATTTTGGCGAGTGGGCACACCTCAATCCACTTGGTGAAATAGTCGATTGCCACTAGGAGGAATTTTAGCTGACCCTTCGCGGGGGGGAATGGCCCGAGAATGTCCATTCCCCACTAGGAGAAAGGCCACGCTAACATCATGTGGTGAAGGGCTTCGGGGGGTTGTCGGTGTGCGTTGCCGAATTGTTGGCACTCTTTGCATTTTTGGATGTAATTTTGGCAATCCGACTTCAGAGTGGGCCAGTAGTATCCAGCTCGGAGTACCCTGGTTGCCATTGAGCGTGCTCCGGAATGCATTCCACATATCCCCTGATGGATTTCTCTGACGACGTAGGCTGCTTGAGACGTGGTCAAGCATTTGAGCAGTGGGGTGGAAATCCCTCGCTTGAATAATTCGTCATCGATGATGATGAACTTGGCTGATCTCATTCTCACCCTTCGTGCCTCGTCTTTATCTTTGGGCAGGGTCCCCTCTTTCAGGTAGTTCCAGATGTCTGCCATCCACCCCAGTTCTTCATTGTCGCTGACATTGACGATTTTGTCGTCCAGGCTGGGTGAGTGCAGAGTTTCCTGGATGATGGTTCGGTGTTGACCGGGCCTTTTAGTACTGGCGAGTTTTGATAGGAGGTCTACTCTGGCATTTTGTTCTCGCGGTACGTGTTTTATGGAGAATTCGTCAAAAGACGAGATCTGTCGGGATGCGGTGTGGAAGTACCACTGTAGAAGGGTGTCTTTTGCCTGGTATGTCCCACTGAGCTGTTCCACCATGAGCTTCGAGTCGTTGTTGCAGTTCACCCTTCGAGCTCCGAGATCGTGGGCTAACCTCAATCCGGCGAGGAGCGCCTCGTACTCTGCCTGGTTATTGGTCACTTTGAAGCCGAACTTGAGGGATTGCTCCAGGGTGACTTGGTTTGGCCCTTCCAGAATGATGCCTGCACCCCCACCTTTAGAGTTGGAGGACCCGTCAACATGTAGAGTCCATGCCTGGGATTCCTCAGTAGTAGCTGGCGTGAGCTCGGCTACGAAGTCGGCTAAGCATTGGGCCTTTAGGGGTCCGCAAATTTCGTACTAGATGCCGAACTCGGAAAGTTCTATCGACTAGGCAATCATGCGTCCGGCGAGCTCAGGTTTTCGTAGAATTTGTTTGATGGGGTAGTCGGTTTTGACTACCACCTGGTGGCTCTGGAAGTAGGGTCGGAGCCGCCGGGCTGCGGTGACCAGTGCCAACGCCAGCTTCTCAATCATTTGGTATCTTCTTTCCGCGTCTTGGAGGACTCGGCTAATGAAGTAAATAGGCGTCTGTATCTTTTGGTGTTCTTGTACGATGACGGCGCTGATGGCGTTTTCTGCCACTGCCAAGTAGAGAAGGAGGTCGGTGTTGTGATCTGGCCTCTGTAAGACTGGCGGAGTTGTGAGGATGTTTTTGAAACTTTGGAAAGCTTCTTCGCACTGATCTGTCCATAGGAAGTTTTTTGGCTTCTTTAGCAGGGTGAAGATTGGCCCCGCCTTCTCCGCGAGTTTGGGGATGAAGCGGGATAGCGAGACTAGCCGTCCGGCCAGGCGTTGAACCTCTTTTACCGTTTGTGGGCTTTGCATCTGTATGATGGCTCTGCACTTCTCGGGGTTGGCCTCGATTCCTCTGCTGGTGATCATGAAGCCGAGGAACTTACCCCCCTGGACGCCGAAGACACACTTCTCCGGGTTGAGGCGCATGTTGTGCTTCCTGATCTGGGCGAACACCTCGGCTAGGTCGGCAGCGTGGTCCGTTGCTGAGATGGTTTTAACCACCATGTCGTGCACATAAACTTCCATATTTCACCCAATCTGGTGGTGGAATACCTTGTCCATCAGCCGCTGGTAAGTTGCTCCCGTATTTTTGAGGCCGAAGGGCATCACCCGGTAACAGTAGTTGGCGTGGTCGGTGATGAAGGACGTGTGCACTTCATCAGGCGGGTACATCATTATCTGGTTGTACCCGGAATAAGCGTCAAGGAAGCTGAGGAGGGCATGTCCGGAGGCTCCGTCGACTAACCTGTCGATGCTCGACAAGGGATATGAGTCCTTGGGGCATGCTTTGTTGAGGTCGGTATAGTCGACGCACATACGCCACTTTCCTGAGTTCTTCTTTACTAGGACCACGTTTGCCAGCCATGTAGTGTACCTGACTTCGCGGATGAAGCCGGCGTTGAGCAATTTCTGCGTTTCGATGATGATGGCTTCCCGTCTTTCGCCGCCGACCTTCCTCTTTCTCTGGGCGACTGGTTTTGCCTCCTTGTGTATTGCTAACCTGTGGCAGATGAAGTCGGCGTCTATGTCGGGCATGTCAGCGCTAGACCAGGTGAAGAGGTCGGCGTTCTTGAGGATCTCCGCTTGGAGTTGTTGTCGTAGTTCGGGGGTTAGTTGCCTGCTGATCTTTGTGGTTTATCCGGGGAGTTTCCCGATTTGAAGGTCGTTGAGCTCATCGACGGGGCTGGGTCATTCATCATGAGCGTCGGATCTCGGGTCGAGATCGGTGATTTCTTCGTGGTCGGTGTGAGCCAGAGCGGTAAGATCGCTCTTGCGCTGTTCGCCAAGTGAGGCGGTTTCCAGGCTTTCTGCGTAGCATTGTCGCGCTACCTGCTGATTTGCTCTGATGGAGATGATCTTCCCATCGTGCGCTGGAAATTTCATGGTGAGGTGCGGGGTGGACACCACCGCCCCGAGTTGATTTAGGGTTGGCCTGCCGATGATGACGTTATAGGAGGTGTCGGCTTCCACGAGTAGGTATCGAACCAGGACCTGTCTGGAAACCGGGGATGCTCCGAAAGTCGTCAGTAGGTCTACATATCCCCGAGTGTGAATGCTTTTCCCTGCAAAACCAACTAGAGGTTCGGTATGGGATTGTATGAGAGAGTGAGGGATGTCTAGCCTGAGGAATGTTGGCCAGTATAGGATGTTGGCCGAGCTTCCTTGGTCGACCAAGGTCTTGCGAACTTCCCAATTGGCCAATGCCACCGCTATGACCATGGGATCGTCTTGATTTGGGCTGACCCCGACATAGTCTTCGTCGATGAAAGTGATCACTGGCGAGTTCTGGCGTGAAGCGTAGGTGGCGGAGTGTATGCGGTTGACCTTGCGCAGGTGTTTTTTCCGGGCCGAGCTGCTGGCGCTGCCTCCTGCGAAGCCTCCTGCGATCGTACCGACTAGTCGGTTTAGGGGGGTTGACCCTGCTTCCTGGCCTTCCTCATCTCGTGCTGCCCCGCCGGGGTCGAGTTGAGAGTTGGAGGGGTGGTCAAGGTGCCGCCGTCGGGGCTGAATGCGAATCTTTTTGTTTTCCTGATGAGTGTCGCTCTCGTGCGGAGGTTGTTCGAAGTGGTGTCGAGGGAGCTGGGCGCGAATGCGCTCATTCTCGGCACGTAACGCTGCGAGGTCTGCTTCATTAGCGGTCCGCACCGCTGCAAGGTCGTTTTCGTGTTGGATGCGCATATTTTGAAGGTCGGCGTCGTGCTGTTGTCGCATCTGCTCGACTTGGTCGATCAGCCGCCTTAGGGTTGCAGCGTTGCTGTCCATGGTGATTGAGTGGCTTGCGTCGTCTGTCGTTCGTCTAATATGGCTTCTAGTAGAAACCATGCAGGTGGACGATAAGAGCTGTCTTGATCGGCCCCACGGTGGGCGCCAAATGTTCTTACTGGAATTTGGCCGTAGAGGTGACCCGTCCAGTAAGATCGGTGAGCCTCCTTTGCTTGATGTATTGGTGCTCCAAGATGCGGGAGATACCTGCAAAAGAGACTCCGATGCCAAAGTTAGGATTTGTATGAATAATAGTCTCGTATATATAATGCACGTACCTTGAAATGATTTAGGTTTGTCTTGGGCCTTGGGCCTGAGATAGGATATGTTGTGATGTAATTAGATGAGGGAGCCCGTCTGGGGCGGGATCCCGGGTTTCAATTGTGATTTGCTCAAATACCGGGCTGATACCAGACAACTAGTTGTCCGGGGTCGCCCCGCGTTGATAACCCGAGCTCGGAGCCCGGTTGCGAAGTACGGATAGTACACATCATATTAATATACATTTACTTATACTATTAAAATAAACCTTCAATTTTGATTGAAAATAACATCAAGTGTAATTAAAGAAATGTACTTTAAACAATTCTAATGGAAGAATAATACCCATCACTCCTAAATAATTATATACATATCATACCAATACACTCCTAAATAATTATACACATTTATGGACACCATGCACATAAATTTGCAATGGTGATAAGATGAACTACACTTAAGGAAATCTACTTTACGTTTTGTCGCAACTAAACATGCCCTAAACTATAAAAAAGTGTACTAAATTAAACCATTAGCAGGATACCAAGACACCCTCTACGCCCACGCCCTCCGTCACTTCTACAGAGAATGCGACATCCACGGCACCATCGACTTCATCTTCGGCAACGCCGCCGCACTCTTCCAATCATGCACCCTCCTCCTCCGCCGCCCCCACGGCGGCGCCTACAACGTCATTCTGGCAAACGGAAGAACCGACGGCGGACAGAACACGGGCTTCTCCGTCCACAAGTGCCGCATAGCGCCGAGCGCGGAGTTCTCCGGCGTGAAGCGGTCCCATAGGTGGTTCCTAGGGAGGCCCTGGAAGGAGTACTCGAGGGCGGTGGTGATGCAGAGTGCCATCGACGATGCTGTGGCTCCGACGGGGTGGGTGGAGTGGCCAGGGTGTGGAAGCTCCGTGTTGAGGACTTTGTACTTTGCGGAGTACGGTAACGAAGGAGGTGGTGCTGGAACTAGCAAGAGGGTGCAGTGGCCGGGTTTTCGTGTTCTTGGGGCTCAAGAGGCTCTCAAGTTCACTGTTGCTACCTTCATCGCTGGAAATTCCTGGATTCCCTCCACTGGGGTTGCTTTCATTTCGGGGCTTAATTGAAAAACAAATGTATCATATTAATTGAAGAACCTATTATTGCTTGTATGAAATATGGATTTGTGAGTTGCTAGCATTCACTTCAAAGCATGTGTATACGTTTCTGAATAAAATTGTGTGTTGATGTATATAATATGCTAATAATAATTATAGGCATGTTCCAAGGGAGGTAAATATGTATGTAAGACAAGTTCTTCTAAGCAAAGTTTGTCAAACAAAATTGGTTGTCAAACAAAAATTTATGTGATCATTGCAAGTGGAAAATGTACCATTTCTTCAATTAATCTAGAGCATAATCATGCTTTAAGTCCAAAAAAGTCACAATTTCAAAGGTCTCATAAGAAGATGGATAGTTATTCAAAAAGAAGACTTGAGTTAAATGATTTTGCAGGAATTCCACCAAACAAAAATTTTTATTCATTGGTTATTGAGGCTAAAGGGTATGAGAACCTGCAATTTGGTGAAAAAGATTGTAGAAATTATATTGTAAAGGTGAGACAATTAAGGCTTGGAGTTGGAGATGTTGAAGCGCTTTGTAACTACTTCATTCGTATGCAAAGAAGAAATTCAAATTTTTTCTATGTCATTGATATGGACGATGAAGGTCGTTTACGAAATGTTTTTTGGGTGGATGCAAGATCTAGAGCAACTTATGACTCATTTGGGGATGTTGTATCATTTGATAGCACATATTTGACTAATAGATACAATATGCCTTTTTCCCCTTTTGTTGGAGTGAACCACCATGGACAATCAATCTTGTTTGGGTGTGGTTTACTATCGAGGGAAGACATAGATACATATGTTTGGTTGTTTAAATCATGGTTGGAATGCATGCATGGACGAACTCCAAAAGCAATAATTACAGATCAATGTCGATCTATTCAAGCAGCAGTGGCAGAAGTATTTCCACAATCTCATCATTGTTTTTGCCTTTGGCATATTATGAAGAAGGTACCTGAGAAATTAGGTGGGTTGGCTCAATACAAAGAAATAAAGAAAACCTTAAAAGCCATTGTGTATGATGTTGTGGAGTTAAATGAATTTATTGTTGGTTGGCAAAGAATGATTGAGGATTTTGGTCTTCAAGAAAATGAATGGTTAAGCTCCTTATTTTTTGATCGTGGTCGTTGGGTGCCAGTATATGTTAAATCAATATTTTGGGCAAGAATGTCTACAACTCAAAGAAGTGAAAGTATGAATGCATTTTTTGATGGATATGTTAACTCAAAAACCTCACTCGCACAATTTGTTGAGCAATATGATAGTGCATTAAAAAGCAAGGTGGAAAAGGAAAATAAAGCTGATTTTGATTCACTTAATTCATCTTTTCAATTGATGACAAGTTGCTACTTTGAAAAACAACTTCAAGAGGCTTATACCAATGCAATTTTTAAGTTGTTTCAAGATGAATTGCGCGGTATGCTTTTTTGAAATCTCACATTATTAAGAGTTGATGGTCCAATATATATATTTAGTGTCATTGATATTAAAGAAGTGAAGGACGGATACCACAAAAAACAAAGATTTGCATACATAGTGCAATATAATGATGTGGAGGGTGATCTTCAATGTTCTTGTCATTTGTTTGAATTTAGGGGAATAATTTGTAGGCATATAACAAAGATCTTAATTGAAAACAATGTGAAAGAAATCCCTTCTCGTTACATTCTAACTCGGTGGAGAAAAGATGTAAAGCATAGCCATTATTATGTGCTAAATTGTTATGATGAGATAAGTGATCAAGGTGTGGAATTTGATAAGTTGTGTGCCAACTTTTATGAAGCTGCACATTTAGCCAATTCAAGAAGAAAGTATGATTTTTTGATGGAATGGATATAAAGCAAAGGAAAAGCTTAAGGATGATATGGGTTGGGATAGAAGTAAACAAATTACTCTACCAAGTATTGATCATGTAATAGAATCAAGTGAAAAACTATTATCTCCTTTACAAGTGCGTAGCAAAGGTCGTCCACCATCCAAGAGAAAAGGAATCCAAAATGGAGAAAATAATAAAGAAAAAAAGAAGAAAGAGGTAAATATTAAATATGTTTTTTTATGAGATATTTCAATACAATAATTTATTTATATCATATAAAATTATAGTTCCAAGGAGCAAAAAAAGACATTGGACAATATCACACAAGTCTACCATATTCAAACATGACTAGTGAAATGGTAATATATATCATGTAATTTATTTATTTTGATATGAATTGATATACTTGTTTTCTTGCTCATAACATCTTATTTATTTAATAGGCTACCCCTACTCACCACATGGCAACTCAACATGACATTTGGGAAAATTACATAACCATCACAGGTTTATCATATGAGTATTCTTGTATTTTATTTATATAATTGCTTACTAAGTGGATGCTTAACTAACTTTTAATGTTACAATAGAAGTATCAAGAATTTGGGATAATGCCCTCTGGTGATAAAAGCTTTGATCTCAATCACTAAAAATATAGTAACAGGTAAAACTAATTTATATTAACCACATTTGTTATAAGAAGCAAGTTTGTTGTTTCAGAGAATTACAATGCAGGTTCTTTTTTCAGAGAACTTTGTTGTGAAGGGTATATTGTGAGGAGCTACACGTGTGCATAGGAGCCATGGTCAAAAGTCATCTTGGATTAATTTTTTGTTGTAACTAACTTTTGTTTTCAGAAGGCTTAATCCAATTTAGATTTTGGAGAACTATCATTCGATTTTGTCCTTTTAGATATTTGTTCTTCTTCTTTTGATTTGTATATAAAACTCTGATGTATGCCTCCAATATAGTATGCATATATAATGAATGTTTTGAGAAGGCTTAATCCACTTTGTTACATAAAACTATGTTGTATGCCTCCAAATTCTGTTAGATGCCAATTTTAACTCTTTAGTTTTCAAGTTTTATTTGTAATTCCTATTCTAAAATGTTTTCTTTTTCTCAAATAAAACTATTACTTTATATTGGTACTATTTTGTCTTTGGTCAATGATTGCAATGGTAGTTTATGGTTATACCCTCTGGTATTTTTGCTTTAATTTTTCTGGTTAACACGAAAGATCAGTTTGAGACATATTATAGATGAGTCCAACCAAAAGTTGCAGAAAAAAGTCTAAAATGTGTATTCGCAATCAATAAAATCATCTAGTTAAAGCCATCAAAGTTGAAATCAACTAAGAATAATCATACTCAATCTTAATAGACCCCTACCACAACAAAATTAGTTAATTCACTTCTTAGTCGACAACCCAAATCTACCGGATGCTGCTTGAACTTAAACTCATTTAAACTGTCATCATGTAGATAGTCAATTCATAATTGTTTAGAATAAATAGGGGTAATTTAGTAATTTTACGCTGTTATTTTAGAAAATAATCTGTCATAGGGAACCCGAAAGGGGCGCTGTGGGGTGCTAACACCTTCCCCACGCGTAACCGACTCCCTTATCCAACTCTGGTTGTAGTGGCCAAAGTTGATTTTTAAATCAATTGCCTTATCCCTTTTTCCAATGTTTTGAGTAAAACATTGGTGGCGACTCCACGAACCCTCCTTTTATGAAAACCTCTAATCCATGGAGGGTCCCGCTTGGGATTAATATGGATTAGTGAGCCTTTTAATAAAATTGCTCGTTTGACGAGGTCTCAGTTTGAGAATAAGTCATTCTAGCAATCCACTATTTTTAAACAAATAAACGAGTCCAACCATCCTTCGCGAATGCCGAAAGCCCGTTTCGGGCCGGTGGCGACATGAGGGTTAGTGATAATAAGTGCTGGGAAGTGCTTCAGAAGATAGTACGTAGATAGAGGATGTCTGGACTGATCTTCAACCATTTGTGGAGAGGAGGGAAGAGACTTCTGCTTGTTACTCATAAGATTATCATTTGGAGATTCTTATCATCATCATGTCATATTCACTTTTCACATTGCCTCATAATCATATTCATAATTGTTCCTCATAAGGTTTCGCATAGGAACCCACAAAACTCTCTAATTCATATCAAAACATATTTATTCAAAATTAAATATACATTCATGTTCAACATTTAGCAAGGAACACAATATAATACTCAGAAGTCAAAACAGAAAACATATAAAATTTTCATGTTTCTCATAGGGTTTCCCATAAGAACCCATAGAGCACTCTAATTCATATCAAAACATATTTATTCTCAAAATTAATCACATATTCACACATCACATCCAAAAAGGAACACAACAGAACAACCAGAAGGCAAAACATAAAACATTCATATTTTGCATGTTCCTAGAAGCATGCATCAGGCAAGGGACTGGGGCCCAATCCTTCTACCCAATAATTATTTCCACATATATATATTCATTTAGTTATATTATTGTGATAACGTATTTATCAACTTTATTAACATTTAATTTTTTTAACGAACTTGATTAATAAACTATTGGGTGAGGTCACAACCAACATAAATTTTCCTTCTAAAATACATGGTGATTGACAATCCAAAACTGTTTTACTATGTTAATTAATACATAACTTTTTTTATCATTTAATTATTAAATACACTATAGGAATGTAATAAAAAAAATATAATTATATATGTCATAACTAAAGTAACCACACTTAATTAGTGATTAGTAATGTATATATTATTTATATTATTACATATATATATATAATACTTAATTATTAGGATTCACTTAATGGTGAGGTTGGAGTCAAGGACAGAGTTATACTTAAGTGTTAGGAGATCAATTTTTTCGAACAAATATAAATGTATCAAATTTCTTGTATAATATCCAAATATCAATTATATTTAATATTTTATTAAAATATAATATATATATATATATATATATAAGGCATATTAAATATTTTTTCCTTAAAGACTTGATATAATTAATATCAATCATCAATTTTAAAATGTTTCGCACATTAAAAGAAGTTTGAACGAATTGAATATTAAAAGAGGAGAATTAAATGGTAAAATTTGGTTGTAAAATATAAGAAGTAGAGGAAGAGAAAATAAC